CCCAACACACATTGAAGTTATGATTCTCATACTGAGGCTAATGGAGTTATATAAACTTCACATACCTGCAGTAAAAAGCTTCATTCCATGCAAACAAGAAAGCACTTACTCTAAACCTCATTTTCTGGATTAACACACCTCTACCAGCCATTCAAAGAACAGGCAGCCACATACACTGCAAGGCAGTTGTTAAACTACTGCCTCTATTGCTGGCTTTTGTCCAAGAGGGAAGGCATGCCGTAAATCTCATTTATGGATTGAAAGAACCAGCTTTGCTCATGTTTTCCTCTCACTGTTGCTACAGTCTTATCTACTTGGTATCGTAGATACTTACACAATACACAGACTACTACCACCTCGTAATGTTTTTTTCCCCTATGTTTGTTGCTGTTTATGCATGGTCTTGTGGCTTGTTTTATTCACAGATATTTGAGTACCTTGGAGTCCTGTGGTTTTGCTGCATGTGGCGATGTACAGTTCACTGAAATATTTAAATTGCTACTTGAAAGACAATTTGTACAAAACTTAAAAGAAGCATCAATCAGAAGACTGATCATGAACCCTTAATATAAATACACCTTTGACTTCAGCAGACAAGTAGGAACTTGCAAGAGGGCCTTTAGTCATGTTTTAATTCATTAAACAGTTTCATTAAGAACCAGTAAATCTCTTATTAAGAACAAACTGAAAACAAACCCTTCCTTCCACCAAATCCTTCTACAAAATTAAGACAAAAGAAAAGCCTGAAAACAATGTTGAAATTACAAATGGAAATAAAAGAATCCAAAATATAATAGTTAGATGACATACTGAACTTCGGGACAGCCAATTAAAATAAGCTAGGAGTGCCCAAGTACAGAACTACGTGTTTAGCTCGAAAGGTGACAGTGGAAGAAGAAAATACCTTTTAGAACAGTGGCATTTATGGAAATGGGAGATGAGATTTCTGTTGAACATTTACCTTCTACAGTGAGCATATTTTTGCATCGCTGGGTGGTGACTAGCACAGTTCTCTCTATCAAACACAATTAACTTCCTCAGACATTCCCAATTCCATAAAGCCACACTTTACCAAGCATCCCATTTATAACCTGTCAGGCATGGTCTGATAACCTTGGGTAAAAGAGGACTCTGTTTAAAACAAGTCAACTACTGACTAGCTTAGGGAACAATACTGTTAAGCTTTTCTAATGCCCGGGATGCAAAAAGAGAGGAATATCCAACTATAACTTTTTTGAGAGCAGTGGCCATGGGTAACACGAATCAAGATTATTACAGTTGAAATAAGCCACATAGGGAAGTATGCAGCGAATCTGACTGGAATGTTGCTAGGAAAACAAACAAACAAACAAAGCAGTTCTAAAAAAGCTTAATTTTTGATGAGGGCTCTTTTTCAGAGGAAATATTTAAAATACTAAGATCCCTGCAAGAATTTTCCTGTGAACTTCTGGGAATGTGAAACTTACCAGGTATTTTTCCCCAACCTTCATGGAATTTCATCTTCCTAAAAGCTTCCTATATCCCAGTACTTCTGAACGGTTCTGGAATAGAACACATGGTACAAACTAACTGCATCAAATGAAAATGATAAATGAGAACAGAAACCCACAAACAGTACCCACACTGAGTATGTTCAGTCTTACCAGTGCATCACCAGGGATTACTTTTTTCACATAGCCTATTGCCCATGGTTTACTTGCTCTGGAAAGCTCACTGAAAAGTTGAATAGCTCAAAAAGCTGGCCACTGCTCAGGCTTAGTTAGCAGCTGTGGAGATCGAAGGAGCTGTGCATGTCATCAGGCATTAGAACTGACATTTATGAAAGCCACGATGTAAAACATTATCAAAATTGTCAGCCACTCTCTGGTTCTGATTGTGGTAGGTAGTCTTTAAGGGGTTCTTCTGCAGCAATCTTTGCACTTATTTACTCCCTTCATCACTGGGACAACTCTGTAAACAAATAATAATTGGTTCACTTTTGCCACAGGAAAATAGACCTTGGGTAAAGACATCAGTGGTAGTGATGCAGATTAATACGGACAAAATCACAATCAAAAGTGGCGAATTGAGAAGTTTCCTGTTCATGGAGTAACATGCTTTGCCAACAGCACTGCGTAAGAGGACTACATTATTTCTAACAATGGAGAAGGACATAAACAATGAGTTCTACCTTTCACACAGAAACTTGCTCTGCCTGCCTTCCCACCCATACTGTGATAATTGTTACTTACCCTATTGAGGCAGACTCTGGAGCCCCGTACACAAGCTTGATTTGATCAAATTCAATTGCCTGCTGTAAGCAAGCCATTATTATATTCATGTACTGTGCAATTCTGTTTGAAGTTCTTAAACATATGCAGCAGAAATACAGCCTTCTCTAGTCACACTAAGGCAGTGACAAGAGACTGTTCACAAGGAGGCTTGAATCAAGCTGATGCAATTCAGAGTACAACGAAGCACCTAATGAACTTCTAAGAGTTTGATAGAGTGCATACTGGAACAGTGCAAGGACGTATGGCACTTGAAATATTACAACACATTAACGTGCATAACTACAGGGATAAACCTTGGCCCAAGACTGGTATTTGCCTCCATTCTTTATTACCCATTTCCAGTATTTTAATACCAACTAGGCATCCTTCCAAGAAAACTGGAATTTTCTCCTCCTTTGAATAGACAGAATTCAATGGAATGCTATGCAAACACCGGCGTCTATGATCTTTGTCTAGTTACAGATTTTCATGTAGTGGATTATTCATGTTATGGATTACAGTTGTTCTGACCTAGGATTTAAGTGTAAAACAAAGCATCAACATCACTGATCTAAAAATTGTGGTAACAAGGTTTAAATAGTAATAATAATAAACTACGTGTTCTAAGGCCAAAGGAAGCTGTTCTAACAAAAGCAGCAGAGCCTCCACCTCAAATGCACACGCACTTGTTTATGCTGAAAACAAACCCCAATATTCCAGGCACAGCTGATTGCAAACAAACTTTCTATTTATTGGCTGAAGCAAATTAACTGCTCATGCAGTGCATTTTATTCTTAGGCTAACAAAAAAAACAACAAACCTATAAATTCAAGAGATGGCTAGAGAAATAATTAAAAAAAGAAAACACCACAAAACACTACAGTCAGAATAAAGAAAGAATTTCAGCATGCAGCTTTTATCAGTATATTAAACCATCCCAAAAGGTAACTTTATGGTTTATTTATTCTTGGAAATTCACAGGGCAGCTTTGTAAAATTCTTTCCAGGTTAGTATCGAGATGGGAAAAAGATATTCCACTTGATTCCTGGAAACTCAGTGGGAGATGCAAAGGCAAGTTTTGCTCCTGCCTGCAACTAGTAGTTCAAAGGAACTAGTCACAGGAATTTAGCTAACTGCAGATAGAGCAGAAAAAAAAGACAGTTTGCCCATGTCAGGTCTATAGATGGCAGTAAGAAAAACAAGTCTTTTTTTTTGTTTCCATGGAACTGGTATGATTCAAAATACCTAGAAGGCAAAAGCGTGTTTTCAGTACATAGGTACTGTCAGTGACTGCACAGAGGTTGGATTTCAGTGTTTATGAAGATCCTAGTTCAGGGGACATTCACTGCTAGAGTAAGGCTTAAAAAGAAACATGATAAGTATGCAGAACATTCGCTTGCAGAGGAAAAAAATGAAGCAGACTTCACACCTACGTTAAAAATAAACTCCCATTTGTCAACTTGTGTTTTTAAAAATAACTTCGATGTTCTGGGAAACAAATGATCCAATCTCCAAGAGAGAGAGGCCTCAAGAGCACGTGATTGCACAGTAATGGCTGTTAGTAACAGTTTGGTGAAACACTTGAGCTGAGGCCAGTGAGAAGGATGGCTCACTGACAGATTTTTACTGCAGGCAAGGGCTAAAAAACAAGACACACAAGCAGCTAGATTCCATTTCTTCTCACCAATTGCTTCTGATACTAAACATTACACGGCACAGTGCAGCAAGTCGTTCAGAAATTGGGAAGGAATTTAAGTCTCCTAGTTAGGAATCCAGTGACACTCAACTTCTGTTTTTCAAGCTATTCAGCAGTATCCTGATGTATTTGCTTCTCATCTGCACCGAAAGATTTTTAATTTGCTTGTGTATTTTGATTTTAAATATTCCTTTGAAATTAAAGCCATAGATTTCCAAGTACAAATTCTACCTATTGGGAATGCCAATAAATGTGATTCATGTATGAGACTGCTAAGCTGATCTTTAAAATCGGAGGAAGAGATCAGAGAACACCTATCCTCATACAAAAGAGGCAGCTTTTTTACATCACACTTGAAGACTTTATAGGCTAGGAAATACTAATTCTTTCCTATTAGTATGTAATTCAGGAGAATGAAAGCGTAAATGTTATTCCCTGTTCAGAACACTCACCAAAGGCTGTGCTTTTACTTGCTTTGCTAATTCCAGGACAATGCTATTCTGTAATCTTTCACATCCTCCCTCCACTTGACCCCCAAAAGCAGCCTGTTTGCATTGAGATCTGTTTTCAGCCAAACACACATTGCATTTAAAATTATTTTTAAAGAATTAATTCAGCAATTATTATCAGATGCTTGAGCATGCAGGTAAAGATGCACTGATTACACAGACATATATAGGCCTCTCTACTCTGGAAAGATAGGAATCAACACTGAGATAATTCCAAACATTAAATTATATTTTCTCAAATAGTGAAGCTCAAAATGTACAAAAAATTTTTTCTTAAAAAAAAAAAAAAAAAAAAAGCCAACAAGAAAGTGAAGAACTCCAGTACAGCATCATTCAATTTCGAGGAGCTGTTAAAATTAGCACAGGGAAACTATTATTGCTAATTAATAATCTCTACTGGCTGCTCCTTCCTCTTCGGAGTGTTCTAGTGGCTGCTGACTTTGCTTTCAGTCTTAGCTTTCAGTCTCATGAACAACGACTTACCTTAAAGTAATTACATTCAGATTAATTGAAAGAGTTGTACTTATAATGAAAACATCGTAATTCTATGAAATATATGAAATTCTTTATTTCAAGTTTGCATCCACAGTCATACATCTGTTTGTCCTCAAATCAGTCTGCATTGGCAACCACCAAAGAAGTTAAATAGCTTTTATGACACAGACACAAGGTAACCAGACAGCTTTACTTTCATTAAACAAAGGCAGACTGCCCTGTGACAGCATTTATTACCAGTGCATAGGTCATTCTCTTTTCCTATATTTCAATATTTACAATATTTCCCTTACATGGAGGAACACAGATGACTGTTACTAAACCTGTAACTTCCTGAATGAAAGAATGATGGGTATATGTACCTGGATACACTGGATGCTTTCATTTGTAGCTTTCATTTGCTAGTTCACAAGCTGTTGCTCAGAATGAGTTTAAATATCCTTACAGATCTCCACTACCACTTTCACCATTATATCACTATCCAAGTTCCACATTTAAAGTACCAATAGGATTTTTTTTAATAAGACAAGAAAACAAACAGAAGACAGACAAAACTGCAGTTCCCTCATGTATGATACTGCTTCAGAACCACTCTCTAAAAAAATATCCTTTCCAGAAGCACCGATTCCTTTCCAACAAGGAAGCAGCACAAGAGAGTTTGTATAATCAAGCCATAAAGTAAAACCAGTGTATTTTACAGTATTTCAAACTCCCAGTTACAGTGGTTAAGTTAAAAATTAGCATATGGAATGAGTATCAGAAACTTATGTATAAAAAGGTGAGTTAGTAAAAAACCTACAGCCAGATTAAAAGCAGAACTAGCAGCAAACACTGCTACCATTACACAGTACTCACGAAAGATGATTGATTCGATGGACATCTGAAAAAAGAAGCTGATGACTGTACTGTTATAAAAATGGCAAGACATATTTGATCATAGTAACTGTATGATCAAGTGTTAGAAGGAGAAAAGCAAGCATGATTCAGTTAACACAAATCCTACTTAAACAAGAGTGCTTCCAAGCCACAAAACATTTAGTTTCAGTTTTATACTAATAATCACAACTCCAGTCCAACAGATGCAACTGACTCTGGTAAGCACGTCTGAACAGACAACAAAAGGTAATTCCTACTGCATGCAGCTCCATACAATTGGTATGAATGTCAGTCTTTGCTTATATGGCACTTTGCAACAGCAAGGCATACTGCAGTTCAGAATGAAGGAAAACAGCACAGTGCTTTGTTCAGAGGTAAGGTTCAAATTGGGCATGACATATGTACAGTTTGTTTCCAGGCACGTCTTTGGTTACATTCTCAGTACAGTCTTCTTCACAAAAAAATAAATAACACATTCAAGACTTGGTTGAAGTTCAAGCAAAGATATTTTTTTTTCATTGTCAGAAAACAAGACAGTAGAAGTCCCTTTAAAGTGATGCTTTATTACATCCATAGACGATAAAATCCCAGTGCTACAGTAAGGCATGTAAATACTGAACCTGAAAGAAAATAGAAGTGGAGAAGACAGATAAGAAATCATTAGCTCTTGGAATATATCTTCAGAATTCAGAAGAATTCAGAATATCACTGCACTGCTAAAGATATAATCACCACTTCTTCCCCATATAAGAAAGCAAGTTTTTTCATTTACGAAACACAAACAATTTCAAGGCAGAGGGACACAGAAATGACAAAGAAGGAGGGAAAAGGAATGTGCAGGAACTGGACTGGAAGACTATCAAAAGGTTGGACAAAAAAAAACAAACAAACAACACCTTAGCTGCTTACCATTCAAAAAAAGATCGAAATGGCAAGTTACAGTTGTAAAATGAGGGATAACAGGGTTATTAAATCACAATCAGGTATTCCAAAAAATAAACGCAAACTACTTTATTATAGCTGATCAATTTGTGTTTTGTGGGGTTTGTTATTATTTCTAGTGAATGCAATCAACTTTTGGTTTCTAGATAAACACACTGAAGATTTTTGCCACTGTTTGCAATGGAAGCAATTCAAGTAAACATATTTTGCCTTTTTTTTTTTTATTATTATTTTTTTTTTTACTTCCATGACAGTAGGGATGATGGGGAAAAGAACTTCCTCTCACTTTAATAAGTTGCCTTTTATTTTTCAGTAATGGCCCTCTGTAAAGCATATCCCTATAGTACAGTACTGTAGATGTACTCGTGACAAAACCTGCTGTGAAAGAATAATCAAGAAGTCTAAACCAAAAGAATAACTTCTCCTGTTCATTTAATAGCACTACAGACTTCGATAGCTTTAATACTTTGACATTTCTCCTACAAGAAGCAAGAGCAATAACTTATTTGTTCCTAATGCATATATCTGAAAAATAACTACTTGAAGAATTTGATAATTGAACACCCAGAAAAACAGAAGCATTTGATTTTGTAGACAGAGCTCAATCAGACAGATAAACGCAGGCTGCTCTTATAAATTAAGCTGGGCACAGATGAAGCCTTTCACTCTTACTGACAGCCAATCTTTTAGATTTCTCACACACGACTGCAATACGAAGAATGGAAGAGCATACAGGCATAGTCCCTGCAAAATACAGCTGCAAATTACAGAAAACTTTCTCTGGTAACAATGCTGCTGATATTGACTGAGACTGCTTAAAGTACTCATATTTTCTTTGAGCCAGGGCCTTCATGAATACAGTCAATGGACAACTTGTAAAAACGCTGTCCAGTTTAGCAGGTCCACCACCAGATGCCTTACCTGCTAAGTACTTAATATTGTCGAGTTTGTGCGATTCCAGCATTGTTTTCAGATCAGCAACTTCTGTGTCTATTTTTCTGTCTGTTTGGGTCAGAGCTCGATCTTGTTGTGCATGCTAGAAAATAGAACAGGCTGATAATTTGAACAGTTCCACGTTTATTTAGAAATGTAACCCATTCCTCTAAGCTGTGCTTCCAACTCTTCCTTAAATGTGTGTTAATGAAGTAATTTGCACTCAAAGCAAACAAGTTTGTTCCTTGCTTACCTATCTAAGGAACTGAACTCAGTAAATTTTCATTACATGTTCACTAAGATGTAATCTAGAACATGGTCTTATCTCAATCTAGCAGCATAATCACTCACTTTAATGTGTCATCTGGCCCACAGATGTTCAAGTCACATCTCAATTATAATAGCTGTTGAGAAGTCTAGAAGACTCTCATGACAGAAACATACTGGAAGAGCATGACAATTTATGGCTCCTTAGAAATATCAGAGTAGGTCTTTTGATGTAAAAAAATGTGTCTTCATCTTGCAGTGAATTCTACTACAAAAACACTAAAGAATGACAGCCAGAATCTGATTATGACAGAAGACAGGACTTCATAGGAAAAAAAATGGGATTAAATCGTTACTCAGAAAGGGCTGAAAGCTCAAGCTTGTAAACTCAGAACAACAGCTGCTCTGCTGCTGCTATTTTCAAACCAGCACTACTGACACATTGTAATCAGTTAATGATTTATGGCTAAAGGTCCTCCTGTGACTAATTTTCTACAGTACAGAAATCAAGCAAAATGAAGAGGAATTCTTTAGTAAAAGCCTCCTTTAAAATGAACTCAAATCAATCAAGATATTGGTTTCAGTTCCAATGAAGATGGAAAAAGTCACTGATTTAAAAGAAAATAGCCCACTGAACAGGTTATATGTGTGTGTAGACCTAATAATATACATAAGCCTTTTTATTCTGTAAACACTTCATTTGTTTGTACCACCATGGAAATACACAGAAAAATAATAAATCTCAGTGACATTTTGTACATTGAAGGGTCTCAGAGCATGAGCAGCTTCAAAAAAGAGCACCAGCTCTGTAACACAAGTAAAAAAAGCTTTGGTATATAACAACAAGCTACCAAGTTCTTACCAGTTCCACTATTTCTGTCCTCATTTCAAGTAGTTTTCTTTCATTAAGTGAATACTGGAAGGGAAAAACAAACAACAGACAGATAAATAGGATATTGTCTTCAAGGCTTTTCCCAAAGCATGATTCCTTTGCTGTTCTCTGCTTCCCAGTTTTCTACAAAACTGAATCTGAACACCCACGTTGTCTGGCAACACCTGAAAGATATTATTGCAAGGTGACTGCTGTCATTGGAAAGCTGAATGCAGACAGGTGTTCAGCTCACACTGGAACGATGGTATACACTGAAAAGCAGATGGCAGAAGAGTTGGCAGATTGGCACTTCTGCCAAAGACCTGTGACTCTGAAGAGTAAATGGGACAGATAACTAACTCAGAGAACACAGACACCAAGACTGAATCATCCTCTTTCTTCAGTAAGGGGAGCAGTTTTGAAGTTATCAGAGCAAACTCAGCTACCAAAGATGTTTCACCAGCGTTACAGGCACTCTCTATTCAAACTTTTGAAATGGTCAGGATGGTACTTGAGGAACACCACAAAATGCTGTATTTGGTAAACACAGAGCATTTGTATCTCATGTTAAGTCACTGGGTCAGAGTCACCTGAAAGAAAATACTGCAAGTCAGAAGTCCTGGGTTACTTATGAACTGTAGTTATCTGGATTCAAGGAAAGGTAAATCCAGATTTAAGAAGCATACATTTAAGGCAGGCAGGTACCTTTCTGACTCATGAACTGGCATTATTTGACATATGTAATGATTCCTATCCACTACTGAGCAATTCAATTACTCCTAGGACAGCTGCTAAGCCATCAGTCTATAGTGCAGAGTATTAAGGTCATCAGGCTCCCATCACAGAATCCTCAGTCACACAGTGATAACCTCAGCTACTGACATTCCCATGTGGAAAGTTGCTTTTTTTTTTTTTTCCCCTTCCAGTCTAGAGGCTTATTCCACTTTGATATCAAACTCAGATTAATCTACATAAATGCCTCAGCATTGAAAAACTCTCTTTAAATTACCCAGAACACTATTCAAACTTCTATTAGACCCAAAGATCCAATTAATAAACAGCACGAGGCTACACAGAAAAAAAAAAAATAGAAGAGACAAACAATAAGATGCCTATAATTAATAAAACGTGTTGCTGAATTCTGCAAATTGATGACAAGGACAAAAAAATTCAGTAGCATATATTGCCTCAAAGTAAAATTCTTCAAAGCGTTAAGGTAACAAAACAATACAATTTTTAAGTCATGTCTGAGGTCAAGTTTAACCTAGCAATGCCCCATCCCTGGAAGTCTTCAAAGCCAACTGAATGGGGTTCTGGGCAGCCTGATGGGTGGCAACCAGCAGGATGGCCTTTAAAAAGTCTCTTCCAATCCAAGCCATTCTATGATTCTGTGTAAATAGGACCCCACATTAATAAACTGATTATCACTATCAAATGTGGCATTACATTTAAAATAAACAATAAACAGTCCTTCTGTTACAAAAGTCCAAGACATGTCCATAATAACATAAGCACATAAGAAGAGGAAAAGTTAAGGCCCCCCCCCCCGGGGGGGGGGGGGGGTGGCGCGTTAAATCCATGTTTTTTTTGCAAAGCAGAGAAAATGTAGTTCTGCCAGATGCATCTTCATGTTTTTAAACAGCAAACTTAAGGCACGTGAATATAAGTGAAAATTTGTTCCATGCTTCAAGATTTTCCAATTCAATCTGTATCACTGCAGATATACATCAGGGCATAAGCAGGTGTGCATTAGCTAATGAAGGCTTCTCCAGGAAAAGTAAAATGGAACAGACTTATTAAAAGATAAAGCACTTAAGAGTTTGAAACACTAGAAATGGCTGACATGAGCGCTGGCAAATTAAGATAATCTCCTTCAGCACTTCGAACACACACCAAAAAATACCTTATATCCAAACAGTTTTTTCTGTTGAGATTGCAAGTAAATATTACTCCTTCATTACCTACCTGTGATAAGAAGACTGAGTTACAAACAAAATCTGCAGTAAGATGTCACTAAAAGATCTGTCCATTTTGATGATGCAATTCAAGTTCCTAAAAACTTTCAAAAAAGATCTAAAACCAGACTTCTATTTAGAATGCTCCACCTACTGAAAAAACAACAACTCTATCTTCTGATTTTCATATATGTTAATCTAATTGAAAAGCTTGTCCACTCGGTTCTGCCAGATATTTCAAGTCAAAAACAATCAGAATCAGTATCAGTTACAATAAAAATTCATCACAACGACTTTCACAACAGGCACTGCCTGACAAACTAGCCACACTGTAGCCTCTTGCTATAGGGAAAGGAAACATCCTCAATAATGGCAAGATAATGACATGTTTATACTTAATTCAATGAGAAAATAGAGCTGTGCCAACAATACAGAAAATCTCAAGGCAACTAGTCAGAATATTTAACTGTAGTACGTTAATACTGATATGGAAACAATATCAAGAGACAGACACACAAAAAAACCCCACAGTACCTTGTACCACAGCAGCATAAGGATGAGTAATTGAGATTAATAGCATCTTGAAAAGGAATAACACCACAGACTAATATTAAACTGATGTTCTTATCCAAATTTGGAGATTATTCAATGTTTAGATGTTTCCAGAAGAAAGCAATCAGAACTTACCAGTTCTTTTACTCTGCTCTTCTCTAGGTTTAGGTTTAGTTTGTTATCTGCACGAACTTTGGTAATTTCATCCTTATGGGAACACAAATGAGAAAGTGGTGAACAAGAATTTAATTGTAAGCAAAAAAAGTCAGCCAAAATACTGTGCCTCTTTTTTAATTAGAGAGGAACTGGATTCTGAAGACGCAATGTGCATAGATTTCCAGAGTACAAGCGTTCCTGCCCTTCCACTCGTGTTCTGTAGGATGAGTTCAATCTCACTGGGACAAATCAAAAACTAACAACTACTTTTACACCAGAACACTCAAAGCAAGAGTTGATGAAGAACACAACCTTCTACAAATTCTGGGAGCGTTTCATAAACCCATGGCTCACCACTTTTAGAACTCCTTGCCCATGCACACTTGTAAACTGGACTTCTATGAAGGAATCTTGATACTCAACATACTTTAAAAACAGTTTTCAACTTTAAAATTTAAAAGGAAATCTGTTTCTGAAGACTGCATCCAGGCTCTCAGAAAAGAACTACTGACAACTAAGAAGACAGAAAACGTTTATTATTTTTAAACACACAACTTGAAACTACCACTAAGTATTCTGCTTCATGGATAGCCCTAAGCGACCCCTACTTTGCTTAGCGACAACTGCCATTTTATATTAACTTCCCAGCAGGAATTCTAGCCAGATGACACTTTGTCATAAGACAAACTGCTGATCTGATGAGTGTGTGGGAGAATCAAAAGATTGATGATGTTCTGGGATATTCTGCAGTTAAAAACAAGTAAACATCTCTCAAGTAGACCAATATCAGCCAGACAAGACTTCATTAAGTTTCTACAAATAATAACGACATTCAATTTCTATGCTAGGATTTTTGAACTTTAACTGTGTTGTAATTAGATGTCATTACAGCACAATGTTACAATTCAATGAAAATATTTTGAAGCCTTTACAACATTGTGTCATTTTGTCCTTCAGAAAAAAAAAAAGCATGAGCAAAATTATTACAATTATAATTTTATCTTTACAGTAAGAAGTGAAAGACACCTAACTTAAAGATGACTCAGATCCTTCATGTCCTACCAGTGAATATGCTAACTCATTTATATGCAAGTGAAACAATAAAATAAGTTACAAGACAAAAATCAGATGCTGAATGTATTTCAGAAAGAGTATTCTGAAAGCCAGTGTGCATTAAGCACTTCATAACAAAACAGTTTCCAATCTTAATCATTCTTGAAAGAATTTCTATCTGCATAAAAGCTACACATTCATCTAAGTAACAGGTTTTGAAACCATCTTCATGAGAGAAAGGTATTTTGATTGTTAGCCAGGAGAAGCAAACTACAAAGAGCAGAAACACAGCACTGATTATTAAACCTAAGAAGGACCTGCAGATCATTAACAAGAGTTTCCTCCACAAATTATTTTTTCTTGCTAAGGTCATTTGCTAACAAACAAGTGGGACCAAACCAATGGTCCCAAATTTACTGGCTAAGTCTGTTTTAAATTCTGGACAGTTACATTTTAATTCAGTACTTTGTGTAAACACAGTAAGTTTACAGTTCTGTCATCATAAATTAAATATGTGTGAAATCAACTTCGTTGCAGCCCATTCTATCCCATCAATTTCAATTACAACAATCAAACACAACCTTTACAATAAAATCACAACTGCAACATTTTTTTTTAAGCAAATATGACAGGCCTTAATTCTTGATTATGTTGGTACAGTATCTTACCATGACTTGCTTCTTTATCTGCTGGAGTTCCAGTTTTATTTTCTGGGAGAGCAGAAAAAATGTACACTTCAGTATTGTACACAAAAACTGGCAATCTAGACATACGAACCGATTTGTATGATCAGTAGCAATGATTATAATCCATACTGTGAAAGGAAGGTGTCTTAGTTTCAGCTGGGATGGAATTGTTTTTCTTCAGAGCTTCTGATATGATGCTATGTTTTAGTTCTAGGAGAAAAACAATGCTGATAACACACTGCTATTTACAGTTGCCTGCTAAGCAGTGTAGTACAGAGCCAAGACCACTTGCAGCAAAGGGCCCAGGGAGCTGGGAAGGAACAGAATTAAGACAGTTGAATTAAGCTGACCAAAGGGATACTCCACACCATAGGATATCAAGCAGGAGTTGTGAAGGGAGTTGAAGTTCATCTCTCTTTCTCTACCATTGCTTGGGAGGCTAGCTGGTCATCAGTCAGGGGGTGGTGAGCAATTCCTTGTGCATCACTTGTTATATCTGTCATACAGACATAACTATTTTCCTTTTCCCTATTTTGGTAAACAGTTTTATCTCAACCCATAGGTTCTATTTTATTACCATTTTTTAATTCTCTCCCACATCCCACTGGGAAGGGATGGTGGAATGAGTGGATGACAGTGCAGTGCTCAGCCACCTGCCAGGTTAAACCACAACAGAAGGCAGAATGAATGTGGTTTAACTTCATTTATATCCTGAGTATGTTTGTAGACAGACCCACCTGTACATGTGTGTACTCAATCAGTACTGCATATTTCCAAACAACAGCACAAGACAGAAGCTAGCACTGTCCCACAGCACTACAGGTGGCCAAATGCACAGGATGGTATTAGCAAGAGTAAACACAGCCAAAAGTAACTGATTACTCCCTCATGCTTAGCATTTGTGAGCTTACATCAGAAAAGTTGTGTCCAGCTTTAGGCTCCTCGGTATAAGACAAATGTTGGCATACTGGAACAAGCTCAATGGAGAGCCACCAAGATGATGGGAGACTGCAGCAAGTGGCATAGGAGTGGAGAGTGAAAAGAGAAAGAGCGTGCAGGACAGCAAGCAATGTGCTTGTTTAGCCTTAAAAAGAAATTGCTAAATGGTAATCAAAACACAGCCAGCAACTCCCTTAATGGTTTCTGGCAGTCCCTTCCAAGCTAAATTATTCTCTCACTATTTCTTTCAAAAGACGTATGAAATAAGAATAGCTGTAGCACTTTCTATTAATTCTAATGTATGAAAATTATTGGAACAAAGAAGAGCAACAGCTGCATCAACAATTTATGCCCTACAGCTCAGCAGTTTCTTCCCTCCTCATCGTCTTATTTTTTACCTCGTGTGTGCTGAGGATGATTTAAGTTTTTGCCAAACTTCACAAGATTCCTAAAAGCCTATTTTCCCAGCTTCCATCTGGATGGAGGGACATCAACAGCCTTTGGGTCAGCAACTCCTCCCAGCTTTGTATCACCCGCAAACTTGCTGAGGATGCATTCTGCCCCTCTGTGAGATTATTAAGTTGGTGTTAACCTATATTAGCACCCAAGTCAACCCCTTGGATACAAAACACTTTTTTACCTCGTTTTCTGACCGAAGTGCTGAAAACTCACTTTTTTCCAATATAATCATGTCCTTTTTCAATCCACCAATATGGGACATAATTTGTTGAAGAGCAATCTCCTAGAAAAAATAGAAGACAAGCCTCAGAACATATAACCATAATGTTTTTTCTCATCTGCGCATACAGATACAACAGGCTAAACCCCTAAATCTTTAATCTGGCAATTTAAGATTGACTATCTTAGTTTCAAAGAAGGTGAGATAAATTAAGAGAAAGTGACAAAACAAGCAAGTTGTGCTGAAGTGTTAGTAATGTTTGGGGGAAAAAAATCAGCAATGCTAACACAGATCAGAATAATTCAAGTAATAGCCCAGGATCTGGTTTCTTCTAAGTCTTCAAATTCTTAACCCAGCAAAGGCATTGGGGAGAAAAGATGCCCCTGTGCTAAATGAGGAAAGCCAGTCACACCAAGACTCCCCAGTGCTACCCTACTCCTGCAATTCCTTCTTCTTCCACCTTCCTGTGGAAGAGAGCTCACTCTGCTTTTCTACAAGCAGAAGAGTGCACTACACTTACACTTTTAACCACTACTCTCAGTCTGACAGAAGTGAGCTACCAGAAGACAGACAAGCATCCCCCTCCATTTTGGAGGATGGAAAGGTCTGTACATGCTGCTTCTGATGCTACTCTATCCACATGCAAACAGGGATTCCCCTTTAAACGCCTCCCACTAATAAGCAGATCCTTGCTTTTGATTCTGGATTAACACCATTACAAATCTGACACTGCAACTTGGTTTTTGTGAAGTAATGATATTCTAATTCACAGCACTACATGGCATCTGGAAATGCCATGTTAGGCTACCTGACTGTAAAAAAAAAAAAAAAGCAATGGGTCAATGTGCTGGAAATATCACAGAAGATCTACAAAAAGATACTTCCATGGATATCTCCTTTCTTATTCCCTATGTGTTCAGCTTATTTTTATTCTCTCTGCACTGAACTCATCAAAACAATTTCTTCCATTTTCCATCTCTTTCTCATTTCTATACATATACAACACGTACATGCATTTTTCAAGGCTTTTATTTATCTCTTACCTATCCAATTATGGCCTAATGGCAATAACTACATTCACAGTTTTCCAAATTCTCTTTCAGTTCTTCGTTCTCTTTTAGTACAAGCCCTTGACCACACAAAGACTACAACAAAGCACACATTTACCATGTCACCCAGAGTTCAGGTTAATACACACCTCCTGAGCATGCCATATAAACTTGTACAGACAGAAAAATCACCTGAGGGTCATATTTAGCACAGTCACAGAAAAAGGGGAAAAAAATGTATCTACTTTCATTTCAAAAATCTGGGAATAAGAGGAGGTACAGATTCCAAAACTGCTTCTTGTTACACACAGTGGGAGAAAGGGCTCTTAAGCAGTGCATTCTCTGATATAGTGCAGAATAAATTCAGCACAGGAGAAGGGAGTGCTCTTGCATCTGCCTTTCCTGGAATCTAAGAGTTAGAAAAGATGGACTGAAGCCTCCCCATACAGAAGGTGATGCAAAATCCAATACTTAACGAGCAGCCCCACTGTTCTTTACACAGAGAGTGGCGAGGTGCTGGAACAGCTGCCCAGAGAGGTTGTGGATGCCCCGACCCTGGAGGTGTTCAAGGCCAGGTTAGATAGGGCCCTGGGCTGGTATTGAATGTAGAGGTTGGTGGCCCTGCATGAGGCAGGGAGGGGTGGAGATTCATGATGCTTGAGGTCCTTTCCAACCCTGGCCATTCTGTGATTCTGTCAAGACTATTATACTATGAAGCCAGCAGCTACAGTTCTCTCACATTAAGATGACAGATTCTCACATTAAGATGGCAACTTAGCTACCACAAAATTATTTGAATCCTTTGTTTGGAAAATGTCCTGGGGCTTGTGAATCCCAGCCTCACAAAGCAGTCTAAAGTACTTCACTTACTGCTTCCCACTAGCATGGCCTATTTGACACACTTATGTGTCTGGCAATTCCAACATACTAGATATTGTGAATCACATTCAAAAGATGCTTAAGTTCCATATAGAGCAAGTTGTGTCTCACTCTGAATTTCAATTTCATTTCTGAAGTCAGATGTGCCTAAAATATTCAATACTTTCAAGTCCACTTGCTTAGATAGATCTGCCTGTGTACAACCTGACAAAGGGCTCCCTCCCAAAAACAAAACAGCCATTCTCTCACAAATTCAGTTCAAGTCCACCTAATTTTCTGGTAACCGGGATGGATCTCCAGCTGTTCAGAATTATCAGCCCATTTTCAAGCAAGTTTTCTTCAGTTCCTCTCACTGATTTACATATATATTACATATATGTGTGCGTGTGTGTGTGGACTTAAGAGTATACCTTGAACAACATATGCATCAAAGGAAACAGACAACTCACAATATCAGTATCCAAAACATACCATTCCTGTGCATTATCAGTATATACAACTACACTAACCACACACTAAAAGCAATGCAAAGAAGTGTTGCTCAATTCTAATACAGTATAATTGTCACTATGACAGAAAGATAAATTTAGAAACAGTCTACATAACAGAATGGTAAATTACAGGAGGAAATCTTCTACGTTGTTGCTGTAAAACTAGAGAAGAGAGTAATATAGGGGCTGTTACTAGTTAATCCCATGCATAGAGTATCTCCTATGACTGGTAAGAGCCTTTTCAGGAATTCTATTCAGGTTACAATAAAGCTAGGAAGAAACAAAGAAACAAACAAATACCTATTAATGAACACTGTACCAGATCATAGTTCCTAAGTGTCAAGATCCATCTCAATGCTTTGATAAGCGAGATTCAAGACAAAACTCAATAGCCAGTAGATATACATGGATAGCTGTTCATTTTCAAGTTTTTAAACACTGTCTACCAGTAAATAATACAGCAATGTGCACTTCATTAGCAGGCACACTAGATCTCTTTTGTCTTTAACCTTTCCACCTTCTTTGAGCTAACCTGCTGCACTTTGGTCACCATGTCCTTGTAAATCATATCCAGGTTGGTGTTCACGATTTTCACGAATGCAGACACAATCACCTCCGACTGCTGAGTAGTGAATCCTAAGCACAACAAAATACAACAATATTCATTGAATCACAGAATCGCTCAGACTGGAAAAGACCTTCAAAATCATTGAGTCCAACCACAACATAACCATCCTACCCTACTCTAACAACCCTCTGCTAAATCAGGTCCCCAAACACCACATCCAAATGGTTTTTAAACACATCCAGGGATGGTGACTCAACAACCTCTCTGGGCAGCCTATTGCAGTGCTTAACAACCCTTGCTGTAAAGAAGTTTTCTTGATATCCAACCTAAACTTACCCTAGTGCAACTTGAGGCCATTTCCCATTCAGAGACTTACTGCAGGACAGCTGATGAACAATTTCTAATATTAATAACAAAGCTTTTTAAAAAGCAGTCAGTAACGAAAGGTAGTAAAACATATTCCTTTCTATCTAGCACTAGCAGAGCACAACAGGCTATACAACCAAATTCCTCCAATCCAAAATCATGCCTGTAATATACATAGCTGTGTCTGTAGTACAGCACTATTACAACATCAGCAAGATAAATGTTGAAAGTTTTTTCTAAAAGCACTACGGAATGCCATCTCTCATGTGGTTATTTTTATGAGTAAGAACCCTAACATTCAAGAGCAGATATCTACTTTTAGTACACTGTAAGTAGTACCACAGGAGACAGGCAAATCTCAGCAATTCCCAACAGAGAAGAGCTCTGATTTTAGGCCTACAAGCACCTGAGTCCCTATAAAAATACACTTTGAACTCTGTACGTGGTGAACTATCATAAAACATAGTTTCAAATACGTAGCAGGTTAGTGTTAAAAAGCAGATTTGGGGCCTGAGAGTGAGTCACTTTCAACAGCAGAGCTGATTTAACCATTTGCCATCACCAAAAGGTACCCTTCCTCCTGCTGCTATGTACGTCCTAGTGCTCACACAACTGCTCTGTGAGCTCATTAAACTAATGTCTCAGAATGCTAATCGAGCCAAAGGAACTGTAGTTTCCTAAGAATTAGGTTGGCACACACACGAAGACTGAAACTACACGGGAGGAGAAAGTGACTGAGATCTCTGCTTTCCAGTAGCAATTTGGCTGCATGTTCCTTCCTCTTAGTGTTACTGAGGTAGCGAAGGCACATCATGAATCCAGAACGATCTCTTCCCTTATGTTTTAGGGTAAGAGAAGGAATATTTTAGACTGCATTCTACGCTCCATCCCAAGAGCTGCATTTTACATAGCAGCCCGCGTTCAATCGCTTTACAAAACAAACAAGCTAAGAACCCACCCACGATCCAACCCAAGGGACTGCGAAATTACCATGTCCTTCCAGGAGGCACACCAGGGCGTGAGTGTCAAAAAAAAGCTTCCTACTTCCCAGCAAGGAAACGCTGTCCTTGCTTCGTAAAAATGAAGGCACGGCGTTGCTCACACCTGAGAAAGACAAGCGGAAGGTTGGACATATTTTTACGAAATAACAAGAAATCGACACGCGAGCTCTCCAGGAGCTTCCTACTGGCCGCAATAACGAAGCAACGCGCACCTTCACCGCAGCAGCCTGCAGCGACGTGCACCGACTGCCTCGAAAACCCCAAGGGATCTGACTGCTAACTTCTACGAGCACGAAAACCGACAGCGCCGCCGCAGCTCCAAAACACCTCCCAGGTCCCCCACATCCCAAAAGGACCCCACCGAGGGGCACAAGCGTCCCGCTTATCAACGCTCCAAAGCACGCTTTCCGCTCCCCGCTCTCACCGCTCTCCCCGCGGCGCCGCACCCACCCCGCGCCGCCGCTAATGGCGGCCACCGCGCGCGGACGGGCGGGCGTGAGGCGGTGACGTGAGGCGGAAGCGGGCGGGAGGGCGCCGTGGGACCGCAGCGCTAACAGCGCCCGCCTCGCTGCCATGCCGCCCGCTCCCAGCGACAAGCGAAGAGAGAGAATCCACCGGCGCTACCGGAAAGCCATGGCTGGGCACCTCCCTTCCGCCGCGGCCGTCGATCTGCTTCCGTCTCCGGAGTGGAGCTTGGTGTTACGGATGGAGCCCTGCTGCTCGTCCCGCGTCACGCCTCCCAGGGTGCTTGGGGCCGGACGCGGGCACAGTGCTTACCATCACAGAATCACAGAGTGGCCAGGGTTGGAAAGGACCTCAAGCATCATGAATCTGCACCCCCCCCCCCCGCCACATGCAGGGCCACCAACCTTCACATTCAATACCAGCCCAGGCTGCCCAGAGCCCCATCCAACCTGGCCTTGAACACCTCCAGGGTCGGGGCATCCACAACCTCGCTGGGCAGCTGATCCAGCACCTCGCCACTCTCATAGTAAAGAACTTCCCCTGACAACCCGTTCAGAAACACGTGCAGCACATGGCGGAAGAGATGTGGCTACATGTGGGTCAAGTGCTACCAGGTGGGATTCCAGGGTCTTGGGATGACAGCTAAAGGAATTGAATGCGCGGCTCATCTTTTCTTCTTTGCCTCCTGTATTGGGTAACTGCACAGAAACAAGGCAAAGGATCACTTCTTTAAATACCTGGCTTTGGGGCTGATGCCATTGCCACAACTTTGGGTTTTTTGACAGACAACTCACCCCCATGGTTCTGGGTTTGTGAGCACCAGATGGGGTTTGCCTTTCTCAAAGAGGGAGAAGGGTCTTTGGGTAAAGCTAGCGGGACTCACTGGGAGGGCTTTAAACTAGGTGTGACGGGGGAGCAGGGGGATAGCAAGCCTGATAGGGTGTGCAAAGACATAACTAGTCTAGAGGGACAGGGTGCTGGAAGGGGCCTTGAAGGACCCGCTGCTTTGAGAGGTGCCAAAAACGCTGCAGTGCATACAAAACTCTGTGATGATGAAACAGAGACTGCCGGGGCAACGGGAGGAGGCAGTGGGGAAATTCAAGGGAGATACCTAGACAGAACTAGGGAGTTATCCTTTCAGGGAGCGACAAGACCAGCTGCCCAGCTGAAGTGCCTCTACACCAATGCACACTGCTTGGGAAACAAACAGGAAGAGCTGGAAGCTACTGTGTTGCTTGAAAACCACTGTGTTGCTTGTTACAGTTGTTGAGAAGTGGGCCCATGTGAACCCAATGAGGTTCAACAAGGCCAAGTGCAAGGTATTGCACTTGGGACAGGACAGTCTCACGTGTTTATACAGGCTGGGTGAAGAACCACTTGAGAGCAGCCCTCTGGGGAAGGACTTGAGGGTCCTGGTAGACGAGAAGCTGGCCATGAGCCAGCAGTGTGCGCTTGCAGCCCGGAAGGCCAACTGTGTTCTGGGCTGCATTAAGAGAGGAATGGCCAGCAGGGAGAGGGAGGTGATCGTCCCCCTCTACTCAGCTCTTGCGAGGCCCCATCTGCAGTGCTGCATCCAGGCCTGGGGCCCCCAGCACAGGAAGGATGTGGAGCTCTTGGAGCGGGTCCAGAGGAGGGCCACTAAAGATAGGAGTGGAATAGTTGGCAGAGAAAAATAACGCTTCACTTAGAAGTACTTTTCTGGTAAAGGAATATTTGGTATAATGTGGCCATGAATAAGTGTGGATTTCTAATTAAAAGGTTTTTACTCAACAGAACAGTCCTTGTAACAAGATTCCTAACAGGAATCAGGAGAGAACAAAAACCAAAGTCAATTTTCAGATGGATTGGTTGGCTTATGAAAGGGAGCTTACAGCGTACTTACCTGCAGCAGGAAGCGGCTGATTCCCATTGCCTTGCATTAATTTTCTGCTGTGGAGGTTTTTCTCTTTTCCCATAGGCATCTGGAACAAGCCATTGTCACAGAAAGACTAATGAACTGAAAGGAGGACAGGTGCAGTCCAAAATAGAAACAAATAGTCCTGTTACTTTCTCCAAATATTTTAGCACAGTGACTGTGCAGAGATGAGGGGCATTAGCAGCTGTCAGGGGTGATGAATGCTCCGGAAAGCTCTTAATTCTAAATGGGAAAAGCTAAAAACTCCCGGGCTGAAAAAGGAAGAGAATCACTGATGCTTTCCCATTTTGAAGCAATTGGAAAAAAAAAAAAAAAAAAAAAAAAAAGGCTGTAATGGTATTCAAATTAATATGCAAATGATAAGGAGCATTTGGAGTAATTTCAGTCTTGTATCAGGGATGCATTTGTCCCAATGGTTTTAAATCAAATGAAGCACCCAACATACTGAGAAAGGAAAATAAATTGATGACATTGTTGTCCCAGTCTGTGGCAGATAATCCTTTTAAATGTTAACACCTTTTCCCGTCCTTTCCAGGTGGATGTACAGGTGAAGTCCTTGATCACTATTTTGTTTTCTTTTTTTTGTGGAGAAATCAGTGATGACAGTGTGATTTCTCATGTTACATTTGTTTAGATATGTGAATAGCTGTATTATTTATTACGAAGAATCAGAATCACTTCCTGAGAGGAATGAAGCTAAAACGATCTTACCCATAGATGGCAGTAACTGCTTATAGTGCTGACTGCCAGTACGCAGCAATCCTAGCTCTTTGGACCTGGCGAAGGTTTGAAGCAATTGACCTGAACTCATATGTTGCTAAACAGCACTTTGGGGGTTTTAGATCAGAGCTGTGCTCTGAGCTTCTTGTGGAAACCCCATGGTGTCACTCCATGGAAGCTCTGGCAATAGTCAGAAGTAATCCCACCGTGATTTCTCTTTCTTGAAAGACACTGATATAATATTTGTTCAAGTACTATAGTTGCTAGCAGCAAGAAATAGCGTTTACATTAGAATATCGAATCTTGCTGTGTTCTCATCGGGCATGCTTTACCTGTAGAATGAACAGATACATGTGATGTGTGTTGAAAGCTACTGGAACCGAGCACCTTTAGTCAGAGGTCAGTCTGGGCCAGTATCCCCTCTTCCCAACCTCAAATGACTTCATGTACCACATATTGATGCACTGCCCCACCTTTCACTAAGTCAAGACAGAGCAGATGCTCACACGGCACAGAAAGGGGTTCCAGTTGCAATACACAGGAAGATGGAAGTCTGGGAGGAGGTTCTCCATAAGAGCTGCTGATTTTCCCTTTCTCTTTATGTGCAGGGAGTGACAGAAGTTGCTCATAAGAACTTCATTTCCCCACAAGCCTGATCTCACTTCATACAGGAGTCCTGCAGCAGGACATGTTAGGCAAGACTTTCCTCATGGGTTCTTCATTGCTTGTGGGAGGTCTGGCTTACAATCATGGACGATTTGGAAAATGATAAATTCCAAGGAGCTTGAAAGGGGAGGAGTAGACTAGTGAAAGGGGGACAGAAAGGATGAACATGAAGGTTTAGAACTGGAGTGGGAGCTGGGGGAGGAAAGGGAGGGATGCTGAAGGGGACTGGAGGCATAAGAACAAGGTGTGGTGATAGCAGAATCACAGAACAGTGGGCATAGGAAGGAAACTCTGGGAATCATTGAGCCCAACACCACAACTAAAGCAGGTTCCCTACAGCAGGTCACACAGGAAAGCATCTAGGTGAGTCTTGAGTAATTCCAGAGAAGGAGACTCCACTACCTCTCTGGGCAGCCTGTGATAGTGCTCTGGAGCAAGACTGGGGATAGCAGTAAGCTGAGAGGGTAAAATAGTTATCAAGGCAGCTTTGGGTAATTGCAGGGAATAGAAATGGAGGTGAAAAGTGGATGGCTATTAGTTGCTGTTCATTATCCTGTGAGACAGTTGAGCAGTGAATCAATTATAATATCTAGCAATTGTGCAGATAATGAGTTAAGCAATGAAGCGGTTATAGTGAATCATTTCTGGTATTAAATAAAAATGGTGGGAATCAACAGCAATACGAATCAATTATGCAGAGGACTATTACAGAAGTGAATCAGTTAAGTAGAGAAACAGTTATATAGCAAATGAATGAATAAATTAATTATGGAGTGGGACTATTATGTAGAGAATTAATTATGCAGAGCCTTCCTTTGTGATAAGGGGCATGTCTGAGGGAGCTTCATGTGCAGGACAAAAAAATCCAAACACAATTATTAAAATAGAGGCCCTGTGTCAGTTCTCAGTCACTTTTGCTATGATGTTCTTCATTTCTCTGGACAAGGCTCACTTAAATCGTGATGGTGAAAGAAGCAGAGGAGCTCTGCCTTCCTTCAGTGTGTACACACAATCAGAGAAGAGGTGAATGAATTCAGAGATGATTTTGAGGCTCTGTCAAGAGGGTTGTGGATGGAAACCGTGGTCTTTGGAGCAATTTAACCTGGCAAAATGTTCCATCCTAAATAATCCTGGGGCCTGGTACTCATCGGCCCAGGCCCCAGGATTATTTAGGATGGAACATTTTGCCATGCTTTATACCTTAAAGTCCAACAGCTTGGTTCACCTCTGCTTTGTATGTCTCTGCAAAATAAGTGTCAGATATCAGCAAAGAAATGTGTGTTTTGTCATCTCTCTCTACTGCTATAGTTGGAGAAAAAAGCAACCAGCCTTTTGGACACTTTCTAGTAGAGTCAAATGTGAGCATCTGATTCAAGAGCCAGCTGCCTTCATTTAAACAGATAGAAATGCAATACAGACCACAAGGTGGTGGAGAACAAATTTCCAAATCTTCACTCTCGCAGTAACAAAATATACTGATGTATATAGTGAACACAATAACCTGTAGCATTTGTTTTGTTTTGTGTTTTTTGTGCTAAAAACCAAACCAACTACCACCACCACCAACAACAAAAAACCAAACGACAACCAAACCCCAGAAGAGGGAAAGGAATCTGTAACATCCTTGAGATAACAAATTTAGGCAGCTAATTTCTCAAACCTTGTGCCAAGACAATGCTTCCATCTAGTTCTGTGATAGATGTGTTTGACTACAGGATTCAATCCACAATCAATGCTGAGCTAGATGTCTTTTAAGTATTATCTGTTCTGGACTCTTGTTGGATTCTTGAAATGGCTTGCAAAATCTCCCTCCTAATGCTCCCATTCCCTCACACTTCCA